GGTTTGATTTTCTTCAGGTTTCACTAGACCTGAAGTTCAGACTCAGGTACAGACTCACATGCTTTTCACACCACACAATGAGTCAAGTCATACTTGGGGAATTGAGTAGGCCAGTGCACAAGGCTTGAATGTGGATAAGTTAGCAATTGGACCACATGAAATTTATATTTTCTCTATTAATACGTTTTGTCCAGAAGAGTTTCGTGAGGAGTTTTGGGGAAGCTGATCTGGAGGCATGATGTAGATAGATTGGAACAGGGACGAGAAGGTACTTACTTACAGGTACCAGTTATCTAGAACGTTTAAGAGCATTTTAAATTCTATACATAAATTACATAGGTGCTATCAGTAAGTGTGCTCTTTTAGTTACTTTTTTGTGTTGCTGGAACAAAGTAGCGACACCTACAAGTTAATGGAGGAAACCTTTATTTTAACTCGGTTTGTAGGGGTTTCAGTCCATAAGGCTGCCTCCAAGGCAGGGCAGCATGGAGGGGAGAAATGGTTCATGGCAGAGTATGCAAGAGCAAGCAAGCAGCAGCAGCCTGCTTTCCATCTTTTCCTTTAAAGTCCATCTAGGCTACATGTCTATTGACTGGTGACACTCACACTAGTGAGACTTCTGACTTGAGTAAATCCATTCAGCCATGCCCAGAACTATGCCAATCCAACTAGGGGACTAATCCAGATATCACACATGCTTAATCCATATTCACACACCCTAGATCCAGCTGCCTCCTAAAAGCCCCACCTATGAGCACACGAGGCTTTGGAAGGACATCAAGATAAAAGCCATAACATCAGCCAACCTTGAATGCCCCCTTTGTGCTGGGTACTGTGCTCATGGTCCTGCCTTTGTGATTGAGGTCTTGCTGCTACATGAGATAACTATGTCCTAAGTAAACAAAAGACTCACAGTAAGGACAATAAAATCATCTTTGATGTCTCTCCCTTACTTCCCCTGAAAAAGGTTCTGGTCCCACAGTTAAGTGGCTCCCATTCTCATCCTGGTTTTGCTATTAGTGTTACACAAAACCTTGAATGAGTCACTTAATTGCTCCGTATCTCATTTATCTTATTTACAGAATAAACATCATACTTAACCATGACTTCACAGTGCAAGATGTTATGATGATATAATTTGTAGAACACATTATGAAAGCTTATAATGATGTTAATATGCAATTACTTTTAGTACTTCACTTTCTGAAACTTTCAAAATTCCAATCCTCTCGTGCATTTTAGTCACTTTTCAAATTATAATTACATTGAAAGGGAGAGGGGAAAAAAAACCTTCAGCCATCTGTGGCACTTGTTCACCTTCCCTGGAGGTAGAGCCAGAAGATAATGATTTTTTTGAGATGTTCTTAGTCCTACTTAGAAAGAGAATGGATGGTGGTTTCTCATTGTGGCTTTAAAGCCCATCCACTGATGGTGCAATTTCATTAGACAAAACATGGGTGGATGTGTTTGTGGAAGTGGTAGAGTGTTAGTGGAGAAAAGAATGGGAGGATGTTTTTGTTCATGAGAAGAAGGGACAGGATGTGTGAGGTACGTAATACTGTCAGAGCCAAAGGTGGTGAACGAAGGAAAACCTCCCCCATGTTCTGTGTGTAGGTGGTGCATCCCCTGGCTAGTTAAGGGCTAAGCCAGTCTTTGACTACCTGTGACCACATGCCCTGTGTATGTGGCTCAGGTATGGTGGACCTAATAGTAACCTGCATGCAGAGTTTAAGCCTTGGCTCTCTGACCTAATCTCACAGTGCCCATTGCATAGTATTTATCACCCGGTGTAATTGCTGCTGATCTATTTTGTCTCCCTCATGGCCAGCAAAACTGAGCAAGACCATAGACTTAAGGTTTTGTTGAGACTGGCATTGCACAGAAGAGTTGCAAGTTTCTGACCTTTCTGTGGCCTTGTGTATTCTGTTGAGGACCGTGTGTGTATGTGTGTGTGTGTGTGTGTGTGTGTGTGTGTACAGTTGTGCATTAGGTGGGCTAGGAAGACATTGTGCAGGGCAGGAGAAGGACAGAAAAAACGGAAAATGTGGAAAATCTCCCTGCAGATGGCTAAGAATGGAACTGGTTAATACTGATTAATAGGGATAATTCTGATAAACTGGGTTTCACTGTCCACTTTATTATGAAGAAAGGTATATGTCAGCATCAATTCTTCATTTTTAAGAACTCTCTGTAAATTGTAGTGTTTAGCTAGAATGGTGGCCTTCATAATGAAACATGACTCAGATTAAAGGACCCTTTGAAACATTCCCCCTTTTACTTAAAACATTGCATATCCTAGAACGATTAAGATAAAAATACAACATGTTCATCTACACTCAACAGGAACTGGGACTACTAATTGTACATGGTCAGCACTGCAGAAGCATGTGCTGTTGTTATTAGTGTTCCGCCCTTGCCACTTTCTTATTCATTCCTTAGTCTAGCGTGTAGGCCCAGGGCATTTGCTTTGGAAGCCAAAGGTGAATAGACATACATATGCAGCATTACTTTCTAGTAATACAGGCTCTAGAAAGTTTATACGGAGCTTTGTGGGTGAGCAGAAGCAGGAAAAGATGTCTGGAGGGCTGTAGAGGAAGGCAGATGGCAAAGAAGGCTGTATCTGCACTTGCATCTCCTCAGATAGGCAAAGTTCAAATTTTCATTGCAGGAGAAGGTGCCTGGCACATCGAGTGAGTGGCATGCACAGAGGTAGAAAGAGCACAGGTAGAGAGAATATGTGCCTAGTTTTCTTTGCCTGATTAAAAACTATTCATTCAGCAAAATGTATATTTTGAGTCATCTCAGAAAAGAGTTCTCTTGCCCCATGTTTTCTGTGTCTTTATACCCATCAATTAAATTCCAGAAGATTGTAATCAGGGAGGGCAGTCACTCAACAGAGGGAAATGACTTTGTAATTATCGCTACTGCTCAATGTGTAATCTATCTGTTCTTGTAATTATTAAGGTTTTTATTTTTATAAACTTATTGCCTCCTATTCTAAAACATTCTTAATTGTATGCAAATAGGGGCCAGGAAGCATGTAAACCAGGGAACATGTTTTCTTTTGCATCTTATAATAAATCACCGCACATACTGGCCTCTGGCAGCTTTGCATGTCTCCAGAGGCCCCCAGTCAATCGACTCAAAATAGGTTGGGACTGCCTTGTATCCTCTCAGCCTTAGGGAGGGGAAAATCACATCCTGGGTTTTACATTAGCTTTCTGTTATGACGCATACAATGTCACGACTCCTTTTCTCTTTCCTTGACAGTAATTCCATCATCTAGTGATGATAAATTACTCTGCCTCTGGGTTTTTCGCTTACCCGCTTTGCTGAATATGCCCCTGCAGAATGGTGTGGAAGGAGCTCCCACTGGAACTCTCTGCAACCTGGAGAGGAAGCTGTTGAGGAGCTGCTTCAATGTGATGTGCCTCAGTCAGCTCATCCACCCAGTGGGCACATTATCACAGGCTGTAGAGAAGCTGCATGCTTTGTAATTTTTAGACATTTACTATGTTTTTCTCAAGTTCAAAGTTAACAAGGATAGTTTCTTAAAGTAAGATTGTTTCCCTCTGGAGCAGTCTAATTATGCACTTTTCTTAATGCATGGTAAAGTTGAAATAATCTTCCAACAATGAGAACTAAATAAATGGAAAACCCTATCATTCAGTGGCTGCATGAGGCTTGACAGCCTGTAAACCCAGTCATGAGTGCCTGGAGAGCCTAGAACCATCAGTGACAAATGACAAATGTATTTGATAAGTATTTCTAAAATGAATAGGTGGAATATTTGTTCTACGGTGGAGGACAACTATAGTTAAATTAAACCAAGTTTTAAAAAGTATAGCTATAGCTAAGTGGATGCACATTGAGGCGATACTCTTAAGTGAAATAAATAGGACACACATGTGTAAATACCGAATAGTTTCTCTAGTGTGAGAAACTGAAAGTGTAAATAAGGACTAAGAGGTATAATAGATAATGTGAAATAGGAAGGAAAGGGGCAAAGGGGAAGGGGAAGTGGGAGGCGTCGGGGAAGGGGAAGTGGGAGGCATAGGGAAAAGGAAAGAAGGGAATGGAATTAATATGAGAAAATGAAAAAATGGAAACAAAGTCTTTGAAAATAGGGAAGGATGGAGAGGTTGAAGGGAGGGCAGGGGAATGGGGAAAAAATAAGAATCAAGGTGGATTATGTAAAGGTGCAAATTTCCAATGATGAACGTCATTTTATTGTGTACCTAAAATATACCAATAAAACTAATTTTAAAAATTCAACATAAAAAATGGGCTAATGGGCCAGGAATTTAGCTCAGTGGTTCTGCCGCCTGCTTCGAAAGCACAAGGTCTCGAGTTTGATCCCTGGTACAAAAAAAGAGAGTATACCTAATGGTTGTGAAATAAACATTTGTACCTGGAATTTTCAACTTCTTTAAATCTTATGAATTGTATGCCCTATTTTGGTATCTACTCAAGTACATATTAAGTTTAATTGCTTTCATATATCTATAGGATATTTAATACATTTAATATATTTTCTATTTTTTTGAGACAGCAAACTGTGTCACCATCAGTCTTAGGTAGGTTACAAGTCCAAGGCCAGGGAACTCCTGGCCCCTTGTGTGACTGCTGACGTGAGCTGAAGATGCAGTGTGGAGGAGGAAATAACTGGAATGTTAGTCTTTTTAAATCAGAGCCGATAATATGTCCCTGGCCTCCAGCGTCAAACCACAGAGGTAGTCTTTAGTCTCAGATCGATCTGAGACATGGAAGGAAGACTCTCATAAAGGATTCCACAGGTGGACTGCTGTGGCTGGTCCTGCTTACCAGAGGGTGGGAACCTTCCTCCACCATGTTTCTGCTTGGTTTCTTCTGAGGCTCATCACTGTAGCTTATCTAAACTCCAAAGCAAGAAACAGACCTTGCAAGGGTTGCGGACTTCCTGAGCTTTCCACATACACAGGTGGAGCCTGCAGTGTCTACTTGTGTGTTTGCTCTTGCAGCTCTACGTAGCCACAGAGGCCATCCTCATTGCCCTGATCGGAGCCACACCATCCTACCACTGGGACTTGGCTGATCTCCTGACCAACCAGAGCCACAGCAACCAGTCAGCTGGCAAAGACCAGGCGTTTGGGGACTGGCTCCTGACAGCCAACGGTAGTGAGATCCACAAGCATGTGCATTTCAGCGGCAGCTTCACCTCCATCGCCTCTGAGGTAACCCGAGCCATGCTCATTGCTAAAATATTATTTCTCCTTGCCTGGATAGAACCACTCTTTTTCTTTTGTTGATTTAAGTTTTAGCCACTTTTTCAAATAACTTTCTTGTAGATTTAAGAGTTAAAGGTTTTCATGTATTAAAGAAGACTATCCTAAAAAAACCTTCTTTTTCCTTCTTACTACACCAGGGAGAAATTAGTAGATGGAATAAGATATAAACTCCAAAAGAGTCTGTAGTGTCCTTTTAAAGTCCAAAGAAGCCCACTGTGTCATTTTTAAAAAGTGAATTAAAACTTTCATGTCTCTTTATTATATATGCAAATGTTGCCAAAGTAAAGTGAGAGAAATGTAATAACTCATCTGTAACGCCCATGGTTCATTTTTTTAATCCAGTCCTTTGTGAGGACCACGTAGGGAACCTTGACTGTATGGTACAAGGTGCAAATGGTTCCTCTTCCTGCTTTTAAGGGGGCTTTGCTGGCCAAAGAGAAGGCTGTGCTCCTAAGCTGGCCAGTGACAAAGAGCCCTACACTGAGGGCAGACAGTCTGGTGAGAAACAGCCCTGAATAGAGGTGCAGGAGAGCACTGGCGCTGGTTGTTAAAATGCTGAAATACTCCTGTTCCTTTGCCTGCTCCTCCTGAGCTGCCCACATCCCTGTCACTACCCTGGCCCTGCTCTTGGACCCTGTGGTCCAGTTCATTAATAGGTTAAACACCTGGAGCAGCAGAAAACCCTGGGAGCCTTCCCAGGCCCCTGTTCTGATTGCTGTGCCAATCAATGGCCTCTCCCCAAATGCCTTCAACCACTCCCCTGCAGGATGCCAGAGTCCCGCGGATGCCCAAACCGCCTGCTTTCTGCAGATCCAGGCCTGGAGAGTGCCCTCTCTGGTGTGCATGTGTGTCTGCACCATGGCTCCAGCCAGCCTTCCCTATCCTTGGAGTTTTGACTTGCTGCCCTTTGGGTGGAGCCTGCTAAACACAGGGGAGACCTGCTGAGGGTGGTATTTGCTTGGCCTTCAGGAGTAGCCCGCCTTGGAAGGGATAATTACTACTTTAACTTCTTAGGCAACTACAAAGCATTTCTAACCAGAACCTGGCCCTCAGAAACCTCCAGTGATTCCCCCACTGCACACAGGACACAGTAGAGACCCCAAGGCCCTTCACACTTCACAGCTTGATCATGGCACTCTTTTCTAGCCCCTCTCAGCACTTCAGCCTTCCTCACCCCTTCCCCAAGAATATTCGCTGTTTCTCACACATGCACTGGACTCTCAACCTAAACCTGTTACCCAGGGCAGGAAGGTCCTTGCTGCTCACTCAGTTTCCTCCCGTGAAATCCTAACCTACCCTTTAAGACCCACGTTCAGGGTCATCTTCCTTGAGAAACCCACTCCCCAGGGCCGGGGATTTAGCTCAGTGGTTCCATCACCTGCCTCACAAGCTCAAGGACCCGAGTTCGATCCCTGGTACCAAAATAAAAAAAAAAAAAAGAACAAAAAAAACCCACTCCCCAGAAGTAAAGATTTTCTGCTTGAGTAACATTTTGTTTGCACTCATGTTACTTTTGTGTTTGTTTCAACTCCATTTTTTAAAAAAGGTCTTTGAGGTCAGAAATCATGTTTTGGTCATACTTGTATCTCCATGATCTGGCAACAACAATAACTGTAACCACCACCCACCCATTAAAATAACAAGTAGCACTGTTGAATACTATGAGATATGATTAAAAATGTGATGAATGTTATTTTTTAAATTTATTATAGTAAAAGACATTGCCATTAGTCCCCCTTGCTTCTGCCACTTTCTGAAGTAGTTCTGGAAGTCCACTTTTGTGAGTGTCTTATGAGGTGTGATGAGAAATGCAGTAAATGGTGCTGCCAGGTGCCAGCCAATGGAAAGGCTTGTAAAAGTATGGTGTGTCCTTGTCCAGCTTATTCACAGGATCTGGCACCATGCAACTTCTGACTGTTCCCCAAAGTCAAAATGAATGTGGAAGGTCAACGTTTTGAAACAATGCAGGGCATCAGGGCAGGCAGGACAGCACAACTAAAGACAAAGAAGAGGACTTACAGAACTGTTTCACAAAGTGGCAAGAATGATGGGATAAGTGTGTTCAAAGTGAGGGGGATTTTGTGTGGGATGGATGGCAATGGAGTGTTTATTTATCTATTTTTATTAGCACATGTTTGCAGTGTGTAATGATTATATTTCTCATGTGGAGTTTGGTACACATACGTAACACATCTTAATTCTTCTTTTTATTTTCTTCATCTCCTATTCTTTCCCTCCAATCCTTGGTCCCCTTCTCATTTACAGAAGCTCTATTTTCATCATTTTTTCCCTTCAATTCTTTTTATCCCATCCCCTTTCCCTCCTTCCTGTACCCCCTCCCTCCATATCTTGTTCCCCCAACCCCTTCCTCAAGTCAAGAAAGTCTCACATTCCAGTATTTTTGAGGGTTTTTTAAAACCATGAATGTGTGTTGAATTTTGTCAGATATATTTTCTATACCAATTGTGATTTTTTTCTTCCATACATTCCAATATAGATTATACTGATTGATTTTCAAATATCAAAGCCTTTTATTGTATATTTCTTTTCATATATTGATGAATTCTATTTGCTAATATTCTGTTGAAGATTTTTGCTTCTGTGTTTGTGAAGGGTTTTGACTTGCAGCTTCTATTTTGTACTATTTTTATCTGGTTTTCATGTCAGGACAATACTAGCTTCCTAAAATGAATTAGGAAGTGTTCCTTTTGTATTTGCTGGAAGAAATTGTATAGAATTGGAGTTAATTCTTTAAACCTTTTTGTGATTCTCTGGTGAAATCATCTAGGCCTATAGATTTCTAAGTGAGGAGTCTGAAAATAACAAACTTAATTTCTTTAATAGTGTAGGACTACGAATGAGTTGTGGTATTTTGTGCTTTTTAAGGAATTGGCCCATTTCATCTAAACTATCAAACTTATGTGTATAGAATTCCTTATAATGTTTCCTTATCCTCTTGATGTCTGCATGTCTGAAATGACACTTCTTTTATCACTTGATAGTGATAATGTGTATCTTTTGTCTTAATTTCTATAATCATTATATAGGTTTGTCAATGTTACTGGTTTTTAAAAAAGAATCAGCATTGTTATTTTGTTTCATTGCTTTTTCTCTATTATTTTTCTATCTTCAATTTTGTTGACTTGAGCTCTTTAATATGTCCTTCATTCTGCTTTCTTTGGAGTCCTTCCCCTGACCCTTCCCTTTTCTTCTGTTTTTTATGTTTTAGTGGTGGTAGCTTACATCATTGATCAGAATGTTCCTCTTGGCAAAATAAGTATTTTGGTGCCATAAAATTTCCTCTTAGGACTGCTCTAACTGTCTTCCACACATCTTGATATATTTTCATTTTCATTTAGCTCAGTGTAGTTTTTTTTTTTTTTCTTACAACTTTCTCTTTGACCCATGGATTATTGAAGTACATTGTTTGGTTTCTTAGTGTTTGGAGGTTTTCCAGTTAGCTTTCTGTTGTTGACTTCTAGCTTGATTCCACTGTAGTATGATAATATGATTTCCATTCTTATTAATTTATTTAGGTTTCTTTTATGGTCCAAGATATGGTCTCTCTTGATTAGGCTCTATTGGCACTTGAATCTAGTGTATACTGTTGCTGTTGGATAGAATGTTTTATGAATATTTATAAATATTGAATGTTCATATCCTGTTTGTTGATGTTATTGTTGAGTTCTTCTACATTCTTGCTGATTTTCTAACTGTTATATAGATTGTTGAAAGAGAAGTGTTTATGCCTTCAACTACACTTACCAGAGTTGTCAGTTTCTCCTTTCACTTTTCTGAAGCTCTGCCTTATAATGTTGTTTTCCACGCCTGGTTATTTTCTTGTGTGAAGTGTTCTTTATCCCATATTTGATGTAGCCAATCCTGCTTTCTATGATTAGTGGTAGCATATGTTTTCCTCCTTTTACTTTCAACTTACCTGTCATTTCATTGCATGTGAGTTTAGTTACCTGTTGGCACTGTATGGTTGAGTCAGGTGTTTAAATCCACTCTGCCAATCTCTGTTTTTATTTGTTATATTTATATTTTACATTTAATGTAATTATTTATATGTAAGAGCTTACAGTATCGATATGATTGTTATATTTTCTGTTCTGTTCTTTTTTCTCTTATAATTTTCCTGCCTTCTATGGATGAATTGAATGTTTTTTAGCATTCCGTTTTTATTTGTCTGTGAGGTTTTTTTACTGTACCTGTCTGTACAGCTTTTTAGTGATCACTATGGCATTATATTATATATGCATAATTTATTATAGTTTACTGATGCTAACAGTTTGAGAGACATATAGAAACTATATCATTTTATATCTCTTTATCTTCTCCGGTTTATACTTGTCTTAAGTATTTTTCTGTGTGCCTTTAGAGCCCATTACACAGTGTTATAATTTAACATATAAAACATAGCTGGGAGAAGGAAAATGTGTTGTCCTTACCCACAGTTTCCCTTAGCCATTGTGTCAGGGTAGTTCTGCTAGTGATGTTTTCCTTCATTTGAGAAACCTTAATTTCATTTTTACTCCAGTTTTCACAGGTTTTTAGATTCTTGATAGCCATTCCACTTCCTTTTTCCTCTATGAATTCTGGTGAACAATCTGCTGTTACGTGAATTTTTTCCCCCGTGGGTAGGACATCATTTCTCTCTTGCTGCTTTCAAGATGTTCTCATTTTTTATTCTTAGTCTTTAGAAATTAGACTATGGTGTTTCTTGGTGAAGGTTTCTTTGGGGTTCCTACTGTTTGCTGAGATTCTTAAATCTGCAAGTTTAGATTGGGAAATTTTGTGCTATTATTTATTTAATCACATTTTTAACCCTGCTGTCTTTCTCCTTCTCTTGAAGAACTCCAATGACAGTAGTTCTTTTATTATAGGATCACAGATCTCTGAAGCTTTGTTCCTTTTTTAAGCTTGTTTTTTCTTTGTCTTCTGAT